TTTATAGACGACGGAACAAAAGACCTTTTCATAATATCCAGACGACTTCAGGGGACTTGATAGTTGTCTGGATTCCTTAACTCCATGTTTAAGTCACGCCTATTAGGGGGTATATAAGTACAGACGGACGTTTTGGTTATACATTTTGTAGAATGTAGTAAGCTTTGATTCCCCTCTTCTCTGTCTGAGTGGATTTCAACCTGTTTTAGTATACAACAACTCGCGAGAAGCCATGGATGTTAGACCAGAGACAATTCTAGCTGCTTCTAACTGAACTTTTTTCTAGGGAGTCGGACAAGTGTTTCAAACATCCATCCCAAACACACGAGGCATATTCCAGCACATGCCGTATACATGTTACATGTATGATATTGACAGTAGACTTACAAACTTTGGTTTATGCGGTTTCCTATTTGCAATCATAACTAAGAGTTACTACTAAATAAAGATTTGAGTCGTTGATCTCCATCGCCTCTCCATTGCACACCAAATTTGGCATATCTAGGATGTGTTTAGAGGAGAAGATAACTGTCTCTTTCTTAGCAGGATTGAACTGCATAAGACATTGACCACACCAAGTTTGAAGACGGTGCAAATCCTGAATCAATGTTCGCTCAATTAAAAATTGAATCAGGTTAACGCACTTTGCAATATTCTTCTTTCCAATTCCATTAAATATTGGACCAAGTCAACGCACTTTAAAATAAAAGTGGATTATGTATTACATAAAACTATTAATTCTGAGCACATGAACTTAGTGTCTTAAACAATAAGCTCAATAGTAACTATTCTTCACTCTGACAAACCTTGGTTTGATACGGTTTTACGTAAACGCTGTCGTGGCGTGTATCGAAGACTTAAAAAAAGCATTACGCTCTAAACGCCCTGAACATTGGTCAGTATAAAAAGTTTGAGAAAAGTGTAAATAATATGAAAAAGAAAACTATGGCTGACTTCTCCAATAATCCCGAATCACATATCTATACATTGAAAAATGAAAAGAATTAAAAGTTTGAGAAACAGAGTAAATAATATGAAAAAAGAAAACCATGACTGACTTCTCTAATAATTCCGAATTACATATCCATACAACAAAAAATGAAAATCCTGTTGCTTTCTGCCAAATTCTTAAAAAGTTTTTTCTCATTTCCTGTTCGTTCTATTCCTCCTTTAGAATATATCATTTATGGCTTTCTAAAAGGGGCATATAGTGACCAAGAAAAGGTTGAAGTCCTGAATACTTACTTCACTTCTCTTTCATTTACCGACGATTCCAATGCCACTTTACCAAACGGCCTAAGAAAATGCCCAAACTCTCCAGCTTTGGCAAACACGAAAACGAAGATATTTTATCCAGTCTTGATAAAGGAAAGGCTGTTGGTACAGGCAAGATTAGCCGTCGTAGGCTGAAAGCAACGCATGGACAATTTCTAAGCCTCTTATTATGTTGTTTAACAGGTCTGGTAGAGATGCTGTTTACCCCTCGGGGAGGAAAAGGCTCATCTTGTACCATTATTCAAAGAGGGAGATTATCATAATCCTTCTAAATATAAACCAAGTTCTTTATTGTGTTGTCTGTCTAAAATTATACAAAGATGCGTGTTTAAGCATATTTTAATTTTGGTAGAGACAATGATACTTTTTATTAGTATCAATCTGGATTCCTTCCATGTCACTAAATAGTCTACCAGTTAATAGAACTGTATCATAATATTGTCTCGGCTGTTGAAAATTAGGATTACTCTTGTGTCGAGTTTTGTGACTTGTCATAAGCTTTTGGGAATGTCTGGAAAACAGGTATTTTGTTCAAGCTTCGTCAGTTCGGAACTGAAGGAAAGGTACTATCCTGACTGAAATTTCTTTTAAGCAACAGGCAACAACCTAATGTGTATGGGTATAACGGTTCTTCCTTAGCATGTCACAGCAGGGGTTCCCCAGGGTTCTGATCCGGGGCCCTTGTTGTTCCTGTTTTATATCCATGACTAAGCTGATTCCATGCAAACATTAAGTTTATTTGCTGACGAGATCCCCTCTTCAAAAGTCGCCTGGCAATGTATACACACGTAATTCGAAATTATTGGAGAAGTCAGCCATAGTTTTTTTTTCATATTATTTACACTTTTCTCAAACTTTTTATACTGACCAATGTTCAGGGCGTTTAGAGCGTAATGCCTTTTGTTTAAGTCTTCGATACACGCCACGACAGCGTTTACGTAAAACCGTATCAAACCAAGGTTTGTCAGAGTGACGTTTAGTTACTATTGAGCTTATTGTTTAAGACACTAAGTTCATGTGCTCAGGATTAATAGTTTCATGTGATACATAATCCACTTTCATTTTAAAATGCGTTTACTTGGTCCAACTTTTAATGGAATTTGGAAGAAGAATATTGCCAAGTGCGTTGACTTAGCCAAAATTTTGACGAGGGTTAGAAATGAAAAATTCAACGTGCTTTGATCTTTTCCTAAAAAATAACATTATCTGAAAACAAAAAAAAATCTGATTGCGAACTTTTTCAAATTTGGTTATAAAACGCGTTCTGTTGATACAAACCCTCGTAATCTTTATGACGTCGCTCTGTCTTTATCTACAGGGAACCAGTACAAAGTACACTTTACACCAACAACCAATCCCGACGATGTGGCACTTGACGAGTCCAGATAAATGATGCATTTGTATTCCACGTATAAATGATTGTAAATTAATCTATCAGGGGAATAGCGTCAAACTGTACAGTAAACATCAAAATGGCGCCAAAATCACGAATTCTATTGTACATTTTGTTTGTTCCTTTCGGAAGTACGTTACATGCATCAATAATACTTATAATACAATTTTTGGAGATTATGTAAATGATACACATAGGAATAGCACATTCAAATATGATTTTAGAAATTATAACAGTATACAGACAATTCTAGTTACAAGTTTGATGTACTTAACTATATGCACTGGATAGGAAATATTGCATTTGGAATATGAATAACATACCTTGTTACGGCCTTTAAACATAATAGTCCTATATATCAGAATTCCTTCACAACATGCCATAGTTTAAACACATATACTTACGAATTGAAACAAAGTAAACTGAAAGTTTGTTGAATGTGAAGTAATTGATAAAATCCATCACACCAAGTGTCGCATCTAAATTAGCAGTGGGGGACAAAGCAAGTATTACTAACCGAATTTACATGTTTAGAAATTACCACAAGAGATGTAAATAGATCATGGCGTGAAGTTATGCATTCATATTTCATTATCGGTCTAGTGGTTACGTGTCTAGGATATGATATCAATGTAATAATCCCGCGAACAATTGGACGCAAAAATAAACAATTGTTTGTTTGTATCCGAACGACAAGGCATGCATCGGCATAACTCTGTGATCATATAATCCCGCCAATTCACAAGGACTGACGCAAGAATTCATCTTTGTTATATCAATTTATACCCTTTCGTCAGAATCAACAAAGGGATGCGAGGTGTGAGCTGTTTATCTATTCAGACTCTCTTTCTCTACTACAATGTCTTAGCAATAGAAATATCGAAAATATTCTCATTCGTAGTACATTAATACTATATCATGAACTTGCCTTACCCTTAGATTTCATGGCACGTTGGAATATCAGGCAATGAAAAAGCAGATCGTGCCGCAAAGGCAGCTTTCTGGCTACCACCTGTTGTTTTTAAACTTCATTTTACCGATTTTAAACCATTTATCAAACAATTCTTAACAGCTCAGTGGCAGGAGGAATGAAATCAATATACCGATAATAAATTGCACTCCGTAAAACCTATCATCGGTGAATGGTCTCCATGCTATAAAGACAAACGCCGAGACGAAGTTGTCCTTGTCAGTCTTCGGATGGGCCATACATACCTTACGCATTCGTATATATTGAAAGGCGAAGATAACCCTCGGTGCATAGATGTTATGAGCCATTCACCGTTAAAGTTTTTTTTTATTGGACTGCATTGACCTTCTGTCTACTCGAGCATTTGTCTTTTACCTTTCAGTTTGTTTGATGTTATGTCCTTTTTGGATCGCTGTGTGTTTCATCGGTTGATGGCCCTAATGACTGTTTATGTGTTGACAGGCCGTTAATATTGTTATAACAATGAGAATAATAATAATGATAACGTCCGGTTCACTAGACACTAGTCGTGACACAATCTGATGAGATTAAAGCTATTAATCAGACAGGTTGTGATGCAGTTCATTGATATGACAACATTTTGGCCTATATCTTTTCAGAAGACATTGAACATAGCATTTTTTTGGCCTATATCTTTTCAGAAGACATTGAACATAGCATCTTTTTAAAATCCCATTTCGAATTTACACAGCAATTGCAGTTTGAATTCAAAATTACCAACATGAGTGCAAAGTAACTTTGATTTTTTTTCTGGTTTCCCGGTCAAGTATTACATGACCTCCATTAATTAATACCCCGTTAACACCGGCAACTGCTAAGGCAGTTTCTGGTCATTTAAGTCTAGAGCGGTGTGTTAAATAAATCAGATAGATAAATGCGTTGCGTCACATTCTCTTATGTGAAATATATATGACCAAGTGTTTATCCAAGCGTAGCCGAATTGACTACAATGTATTGCTGCCATCTTGAGTATTTTTTTGGTCTATAATCTGTTTACCATCTCGTCACATTATTTTCATAGGATTATAGTACAGCTGAAAAAGTTGGTAGATTCTTTACCATCTCGGACAATGTACATCAGTGCTTGTACGCTTCACCCTGGTCATTTGTCTGTTGAGGGAGACTGTGTAGTCATCGATACGTCATATTCGAGTTATACAAGCAATGAACACTAAATTGTCTTAAACAAATATGTTGAATTATTGTAAAGAGCAGTTAGAAAGACATCGACCTGACACTTATTATTTGTATTTGCGAGTCATTTGCAATGGTGGATATTAGAATTAAACATTAATTTCCGTTATAAGTCATTGATAAACAGGAATATTTTCTTTTCGAAAGGTGTCCTATGCATCTACGTCACCTGCCTTAAGTGAGAGAGAAAAATACAAAACGTTCTTTAGGCTGGCACCGACGGACGCTGCCAACAATCCTGCGCGCGCACTCTTCTTACAGCACTTCCGATGGAATACTGTGGCAACTTTGTATGAAAATAAGGAAGAATTTTATTTGGTGAGTATTAGATTTATCCTTGTATCTGTGTTAAAACATCTAATATATAAAATTTGCTATAATTACATGTGTAACATATAGTGGAGCTGTAAATTTTGGCTTCAGTTGTGACGTCACCATTTATTTTCGTAGTATGCTTTGTGACGTCACCAAAGAATGAGACAATGATGCCTATGATGTTGTGATAGTGGTATAAATGCTGATTTTGTGACATCTTACAAAAATATTGAGATGGAGTAAAAAACTAGGCCGTCCGTGTTTTAGGGAATTTTTGAAGCTTCTTACAAAGTTTTTATTTTTATTTTTTTGACCTCGCCAGAGGTTTTGGAAATTTTCTAGATTCGCATCATGGTTTCTTTATCGTGTACTTTATAGCGATATTTACGTCTAGGTTTTTAAAACTGGAAAGAGTTAAATGTTTTCTTCGAAACAAACACTTCCGTTTTTATATATCATACGTTTATAATTCATTCTATGAACACTTACTGGTATTTCTATTCTATAACAATTCTTTCTCATTGGAAGCATGTTACACGGCGTGGAGATAATGTTGATGATTCTCATTTGTAGGCAATGGCAGAACTTACCCCATTCTTGGAACAGCATAACATATCGGTGAAGGCAACAGAGTCGTTTGGAACAAAAGAAGGAGAAATTACAACAAAGATGAAATCCCTTAAAGTGAGTTATTTATCATTAAGTAGCACCATTAAAACACGTTCTGTATCGCAACATTTTAATAACTGGATAATCATCACACGTTTAGAACAAACATATATTTTACCCATAAATGGTGCAGATCTTATTCACAATTTATTCCTCTCATTGCCTTAAAACACCATTAAGATAAAAAGCTGAAAGTAATTTATCACAAATGGGTTATGTTAATATGGTAAAACTTTTTTTTAAAACAAACAAATAACTTATTTCCTGGAAACAAACAATAAGAATTAGTAGAATGGCACTTGTCTCCATTATCATAGAATGAGACATATTCTAATTGATAAAAAAAGTTTATATGATTTTTTTAAAATTTTGGACAGGATTCGGACGCCAGAATAATTATCGGAGCTTTCTCAGAGCCTGCTGCGAGGCAAGTGGTGTGTGAGGTTTGTTTTTCTCCTTCCCGGTGCTTTTATTTATTTCCAGAATCTGGTAAATGTTTATATTTGCATTGTATGTTTTTTATATTCATATCTATCTAAATTTGCATATTCAACTGATGTGATATTTTATGTACAACGTGTTCAAGGTAAAGTGTCTCCGCCCACATTGCATTCTGTCTCTGTAATATGTGACAATTTCTAAAACTTAACTAACCAACGGAATCGTATTCAAACAGAGAGAATTGATAGGAAAAAAATATATATAAGAATATGAACAAAGAAAGATTCACATGGAATTCAACAGAATGTACAATGAGAATAAAGCCATGTGTTCCTTGAAGATAACTAAATACAGTGCGATTGACGATACATTGTTGTAATGTAAGTCAATCAGAATGTTAGGCTCTCATAAAAAAACCAACCAGGCACAATAAGGAGTATGAGGAATATTAAAGACTGCCTGGTATTCAAACGAGTATGATGCATACTAAGGAGTATGAGCATACTAACGAGTACAGGGCACACTCTCGAGTATCAGGCATATTAACTAGTTCATGACACACTCTCGAGTATCAGGCATACTGACGAGTACAGGGCACACTTTCGAGTATCAGGCATATTAACGAGTACAGGGCACACTCTCAAGTATCAGGCATATTAACGAGTACATGGCACACTCTCAAGTATCAGGCATACTAACGAGTACAGGGCACACTTTCGAATATCAGGCATACTAACGAATACAGCGCACACTCTCGAGTATTAGGCATACTAATGAGTACAGGGCACACTCTCGAGTGTCAGGAATATTAACTAGTTCATGTCACACTCTCAAGTATCAGGCATACTAACGAGTACAGGGCACACTCTCGAGTATTAGGCATACTAACGAGTACAGGGCACACTCTCGAGTATCAGGCATACTAACGAGTACAGGGCACACTCTCGAGTATCAGGCATACTAACGAGTACAGGGCACACTCTCGAGTATCAGGAATATTAACTAGTTCATGTCACACTCTCAAGTATCAGGCATACTAACGAGTACAGGGCACACTCTCGAGTATCAGGCATATTAACGAGTACAGGGCACACTCTCGAGTATCAGGAATATTAACTAGTTCATGTCACACTCTCAAGTATCAGGCATATTAACGAGTATATGGCACACTCTCAAGTATCAGGCATACTAACGAGTACAGGGCACACTCTCGAGTATCAGGCATACTAACGAGTACAGGGCACACTCTCGAGTATCAGACATACTAACGAATACAGGGCACACTCTCGAGTATCAGGCATACTAACGAGTACAGGGCACACTCTCGAGTATCAGGCATACTAACGAGTACAGGGCACACTCTCGAGTATCAGGCATACTAACGAATACAGGGCACACTCTCGAGTATTAGGCATACTAACGAGTACAGGATACACTCTCGAGTATTAGGTATACTAAGGAGTACAGGGCACACTCTCGAGTATCAGACATACTAACGAACACAGGGCATACTCTCGAGTATCAGACATACTAATGAGTACCAGGCATATTAACGAGTAGAAGGCATACTAACGAACCAGGTATATTAAACGCGCACATTTAACTGCATTTCGCACATGGAACTAAATTTATTTTCAAAAAGATAATGAAATTTCCCATAGTCTTCCTCAACCTTCAGCTCCCCAAATCCTTTCTTTTAAGGTAATATTTACCATGAAATATACAAATGAACTACGCTCCCCTCGTAATATCAATGAACTACGTTCTCCTCCTACGCTCCCCTCGTAATATCAATGAACTACGCTCTCCTCGTTATATCAATTAACTACGCTCTCCTCATTATATCAATGAACTACGCTCTCCTCGTAATATCAATGAACTACGCTCTCATCGTAATATCAATTAACTACGCTTTCCTCATTATATCAATGAACTACGCTCTCCTCGTAATATCAATGAACTACGCTCTCCTCGTAATATCAATGAACTACGCTCTCCTCGTTATATCAATGAACTACGCTCTCCTCGTAATATCAATGAACTACGCTCTCCTCGTAATATCAATGAACTACGCTCTCCTCGTGATATCAATGAACTACGCTCTCCTCGTTATATCAATGAACTACGCTTTCCTCGTTATATCAATGAACTACGCTCTCCTCGTAATATCAATGAACTACGTTCTCCTCCTACGCTCCCCTCGTAATATCAATGAACTACGCTCTCCTCGTAATATCAATGAACTACGCTCTCCTCGTAATATCAATGAACTACGCTCTCCTCGTAATATCAATGAACTACGCTCTCCTCGTTATATCAATGAACTACGCTCTCATCGTAATATCAATTAACTACGCTCTCCTCGTTATATCAATGAACTACTCTCTCTCCTGTAATATCAATGAACTACGCTCTCCTCGTTATATCAATGAACTACGCTCTCCTCGTTATATCAATGAACTACGCTTTCCTCGTTATATCAATGAACTACGCTCTCCTCGTAATATCAATGAACTACGTTCTCCTCCTACGCTCCCCTCGTAATATCAATGAACTACGCTCTCCTCGTGATATCAATGAACTACGCTCTCCTCGTAATATCAATGAACTACGCTCTCCTCGTTATATCAATGAACTACGCTCTCATCGTAATATCAATGAACTACGCTCTCCTCGTAATATCAATGAACTACGCTCTCCTCGTTATATCAATGAACTACGCTCTCCTCGTAATATCAATGAACTACGCTCTCCTCGTTATATCAATGAACTACGCTCTCCTCGTAATATCAATGAACTACGCTCTCCTCGTTATATCAATGAACTACGCTCTCCTCGTAATATAATAACTACGCTCTCCTCGTTATATCAATGAACTACGCTCTCCTCGTAATATCAATGAACTACGCTCTCCTCGTTATATCAATGAACTACGCTCTCCTCGTAATATCAATGAACTACGCTCTCCTCGTTATATCAATGAACTACGCTCTCCTCGTAATATCAATGAACTACGCTCTCCTCGTTATATCAATGAACTACGCTCTCCTCGTAATATCAATGAACTACGCTCTCCTCGTTATATCAATGAACTACGCTCTCCTCGTAATATCAATGAACTACGCTCTCCTCGTTATATCAATGAACTACGCTCTCCTCGTAATATCAATGAACTACGCTCTCCTCGTTATATCAATGAACTACGCTCTCCTCGTTATATCAATGAACTACGCTCTCCTCGTTATATCAATGAACTACGCTTTCCTCGTAATATCAATGAACTACGTTCTCCTCCTACGCTCCCCTCGTAATATCAATGAACTACGTTCTCCTCCTACGCTCCCCTCGTAATATCAATGAACTACGCTCTCCTCGTAATATCAATTAACTACGTTCTCCTCCTACGCTCCCCTCGTAATATCAATGAACTACGCTCTCCTCGTAATATCAATTAACTACGTTCTCCTCCTACGCTCTCCTCGTTATATCAATGAACTACGCTCTCCTCGTTATATCAATGAACTACGCTCCCCTCGTAATATCAATGAACTACGTTCTCCTCCTACGCTCCCCTCGTGATATCAATGAACTACGCTCTCCTCGTTATATCAATGAACTACGCTCTCCTCGTAATATCAATGAACTACGCTCTCCTCATGATATCAATGAACTACGCTCTCCTCGTAATATCAATGAACTACGCTCTCCTCGTGATATCAATGAACTACGCTCTCCTCATGATATCAATGAACTACGCTCTCCTCCTACGCTCTCCTCGTAATATCAATTATCTACGTTCTCCTCGTATAGACATATTTAGATAAGTATAGAAAGCTTATTACAATTGATAAATAACTTGGGAAAGTGCACACAGCGCACTAACGGGTAAGTCTATGATCTACTGTGAATGGTATTTCAATATAAACCCGTTAACACAAGGCAGGAATTGTAAGGTTTCCAGTCTAACAAGGTTTCCAATGCCTTTACGACATAACATTCGGATGCGATAAAGTACAAGAGAAAGAGGCAATCCTTCAGTAACAGAATCCCCAAATTACATGAATAGTGATGGAGACTTTAAATGTATAAAAATGCTGAGACTGAACAAATGTTTTGTCACGTGATCCACAAGTACTCATGAACTGCTCACTGTCATCGGTAGCCCCTTTTATCTAGATTATATATTCGCTTGGAATTATTAAATCAATCCTATTAAACTCGTCAGTTTTAATCCTCGAGCTTGCTGTTCAGTATTGATTAAACAGTTATTCACGATTAATTATATACTGTAACAACAAAATCCTTCATACTCTTTTCAAAATCAATAATTAATAAACATTATCATTGATGATTCAACACCAAACTCGTGAAAAGTGCATTAAATAGAAAAAAATATCAATTTGCGTTAAAGTCGAAATTTTATTCTCTGGAATGGCTTGCAAAACTTGGACTTTTGGTAATGCTGGAATAAATACCGAGATGTTTGTGGTGTTACATTCTACAGAGCTAGTAGTGCCAGTGTGAGAACTTAGTCGGGAAGCGTTTGCCAATTGATGCAATTCTAATTGTACCTATAGGACAGTTTAATTACAGCGTTTTTTTCTGTTACAACACATCGCGTTGTTTAATCGCATGGCAGGTCTGTAAAATCCCAGGCTAGCATTGCATTATCGTCGTTTTATTGGCTTAGAACGAGGTACGTCACAGGTCAAGTTTTATTTGTTTTCATCGACAGATTGATTTTGTTTGTACAGTTCATTTTCGTCTTCCCCTTTAAATATTGTATAGGTAGCACGCCAACGTCTCGTCATGACTTTGTTAAGAAACATTGATTGAAAACTGTAGTAAGTTATCTTTACTCTAAAAAAATAAAATCTTGATTGCGTCATGTATTTTTAAAATGCATTTGAACAGTCGAGGAAATTACGACCAACCACATGCTATCTCAACTCAGTAACACGACAAATATACGACAAGAAATGCTCAAAGGAATCGACGTGAC